TTACATCATTCTCTTCTGAAAATAGCCCACTCAAAGTGGAGGATATAATAATTCAGAAGCGGTGGCTGTATTCATGTTTTCTGCAGAAGCTCTAATTAAAAAGGATTAAATAATAATATAGTAGTATATGACTTGGGATCTTGTATAGAGTTAGAAGTTGTAGTATCTTCTTTATTAAAATCTGGCATAATAGTGTCATTATCTAAGTTGGTAGTTGAGTTTGATAGTTGTTAAAATAATAGTGCATTAAGGTAAGGATTGTTTGGATTTAGTTGAGTTGTGGTTGATTTAGTTATTGGTTTTTGTGAGTATTGGTAAAGAATATTTTTAGCATTTGGTTTGTTAAATTGTATTTTAAATTTAGTAAACAGAATTTTTTCTGCCTTCAGGATGAATTTTTCAGTATATACTTAGTGAATAGAGCTAATTGATAGCTTTTCTATTTTTAAGAAATGAAAATAGGTAAGTACTCTGGCTAAGAAATGAGTGTTGATTAGTTTTGAGGTTAGCTTTTCAATAGCTATGTGTGGTTGAATATTGTGAATTTGGTCATTAATAGCTGCAGCTTTGTTGTATGCATTGAAGTAACTGTAGAAGTAAAAGCTAAGTCGTGATTGATTAGAGTCTTCTTGTTTGAGTGAGTTCATTTTAAAGAATTGTTCTTCGGTTTTGTAGGCTAGTTGACAAAGAAAAGAAATTGGAGTAGATTTTTTGAAATGTAGCAGAATGTTGTTTGTTCAGATCAAAGATGGAAAAGTCTAGTGTAGGATGGACCCATTTAGGTTTATTTGGTATATCTTTAGATGCAGGAAAATGGTCAAAAGATTTGGTGAAAAATGAAGTATAAAGGTTTTTGATATCATGTTCAACATCTGTTGGTAGAGTTGTACATTTATCAACTGTACAGGTATGGAAGTGGTAAAGTGCAGCTTGAAAGCATAGTTGTATACACACTTTAAGTGAATTAATAGAGGTAATTTTAAAAGTAGAGGGAAAAAGTTCTTTGCATGTGTTTTGGAGTTTAAGGGCAATTTGGTGTTTAAAATAATTATATGTTTTTTTCTTGTCAATTTAAACAAACTACTTTTGTAAATTTCAAAAAATTTATCAAACTATAAATCAAATTCAGTTAGGTGAGGTTTAAGAGAAGGAATTTTAAAGTCTTGTAAAATTGTTTTTTAGGAATATTAAGAGAAATATTAATATTGAATTGATTATCATTTTGAACCTTGAAGAAAGGCTGATTAATATTGTCTTCACTAATATAATAGTGAAGTTAAAAGCGAATAGGGCATAAGTTCATATTTTATAGAATTTGTTGGCATGAATAGTTTGGTATTTATCATATAAAATAAGGTGTAAAGTGCAAGGTTTAATGCAACTCAATTTCTATTGGAAATAGAATAAGGAGGCATAGAATTGTAAGAGGAAAGTATTTTTGGATAATTTAATTGAGTAAAAAGAATGGTAGTGAATTCTTTAAGAAGGTCAACAAAAGTAGAATAAATAATTTCAAAGGGAATTATAATTGATTTGCTAATTAAAGGATTGGCTTTATATATAATGTCAGTTAAAAACTTAGGTCTTTTACCAGCCATCATTTTGATAAGATAGTTGTAGTTGAACTTGGATGCTTTTGTAGTCTCAGTAGCTGCTTTTGTAACTTTGCCAGGATAGATATCTACAAGATGTGGTTTAATGAATTCGAATAATTGGTAGGCCAAAGTATTATTAAGCTTAGTGTGTAGTTCCATATCTTCAGTTAATGGATATGCTTTGAACCAGTCAAGGTTATTGGAAGTATCTCTAATGTTTTGATTAAGTTTTTGTAGTTTTTTATTAGAAGGTTGTTGGTTTTGCTTAAGTTTATTAAGGAAGGTAACAAATATAGTTTTTATGTTAGCAGCAGACATTTATTGAAGTTTAAGGAAGATGGTTATAGATTTTTGCTCAAGAGCCATTAGAGCAGTAGAATTAAATAGTTTGAGTTTGATGTCTTAAATAATGGAGCACAAGTTCTGTGGAGGAGAAAGAGATTTTTGAATATACATAGTCTGGAGAGTGACTGCTTTGTTTTGTAGCTACACAAGGAATGTTTTTAGTTTTGCAGATAAAGCAGGTATGGTAGTATTGGGAGTGGGCAATAATAACTGTCAGAGTTTTGTTGGTTTGAAAGCTTGGGAATAGCATTCTTGGAGTAGCAGTAGATGAAGTAAATAATTTGGATTGATATTGCATTTTGGTATTTGAAGAAGGGGTAGTTCATTAGTAATTTTTTAAAATTGTTTTTTCGAGATTGAGAGGTAGTATTGGTTGGTTGGCCTATTGCAGTTGGATGATCAATTTTGTAGAATCAAGAAGTGAAATAGTATAAAATTTATTACAGAAGCATGTGCCGATAGTAGGTTGCTTTGGTACTTGAAAATAATGTAATTTTTTAGAGATTTGTAAATCGCAAGTTTCTAGTTTGAAGTTAGGTAGAAGTACTTTAAGTGAACCTGGTTTGTTTTTACTCATTCTGATACCAAAACAGTCCTGATATCAACCATAATAGTAGTCAATATCATAGGAGTCTGGTTCTTCTGATAAAGTTAAGGTTGGCATAATGTTGATAATGTTGAGAAGCTGCTTTTTTCAAGGGGTGTAACAAATAAGAGGGTGTGACAAATAGAAAGGTATGACAAATAAGGGGTGTGATGTATAAGAGGTGTGACAAATAAGGAGTTACCTAGAGTAACAGTTGGATGATCAACAGGATTGACAAGATCAACATAAGACAGAAGTTGTATAATTTAATTAAAAATAGAATAGTAAAATTAGGTTAAAAATAAAAATAGATGAAACAGAAGTTAAATTTGTGTAAACTGGTTTATAATAATGATTTGTAATCTAGGATCTGCAGTCTGGATGTCCTAGAGGGGGCAAGATACCCCAAAAAAGAGAAAAAAATTTTTGCAAAAATCAAATGCAATTTTTGCAACAGAGTTTTGAAGTATTTTAACTATTATATTATTAGTTTTGATCTGTTTTTGATGTACTATATATCAAAATGAAGCTAAAAATTAGCCAAATCTTTTTGTTCTAATGAGTAAAGGTGGTTGTCTTAATAAAATTCTGAGTTTTTTTAAGAAAGAACACAGGAGAACAAGTTTAGCTATATCTCATTAATAAAGATCTTTAGAAATATAAAACTAGGCCACCTATATGTAAAATTTTATTAGGAACAATTTTATTTAGGCAGCCAAAATAGGTTTATTTAGTAAAATATTGAGAAAAGTGCAATTGTTTTTAGAGAAACTTGGTACAAGTGATCGTTGGGAAGAGTTAGTAATTTGTGTCTTAAAATGTATATTATTAAAATTTTTACAAATAATTAAATATATAAAAATTTGTACAAATTTTTATTTTTTTTCTAAAAATTTCTGGCAGGTTAGAAATTTCACAAATTTTTATATATTAAATTTGTTTAAAAATTTGTGAAAATTTGTACTAAATTTATTTTCTTAATGTAAATTATTGCATGTAATACATCAGCAAAATAAATGTGATGCAAGTTTGTGCAAATTTTTAAGTAAATTAATATATATAAATTTGTGGAAATTTGCTAACCTGCCAGAAATTTTCAGAATAAAAAAATAAAAATTTGCACAAATTTTTATATTTTAAATATTTGCAAAAATTTTTGATAAAATAAATTTTAAATATTAAAAAACAAAAATTTTCAAAAATTTGCAAAAAATCTTAAATATATATATTTTTTATCTTTCTATTTAGTAGTACTAAAAAAGAGCTAATTATATATATAATGCTTTAAAAAAAATTTTAAAAAATTTTTTACAAATTTGTGAAATTTATTTGGGCGTTATTTTATAGCAACCTATTGCCATAGTGCCCCATGATCGACCAATAAAAATTGATTATGCAAATTACGTGCTAGATTGATCAAATCAACCGAACACATGATTCATGTGATCAATTTTTTTGGTCAATTATATCCCTACTTTCTGCATAGGTAATGCAAAAATCTGAACATGTATAAAAGAAAAAAAAGTGAAAATATGCAAAAAATAATGTTTAGATCGACATTGGTGTACTAATTAAAAATGACGAGAATGAAAATATACATAACTCCATAGCCTCTAATGTTAAGGCCATAACCCTAAATTTTTATCTTATGCACTTAGTTTATTTACAAAATCAGATTTTGTATTATCCACGTATATAATATGTGAATGCTTTTTTTATCCTTTTCAACTTCTTTCCATATTCATAATAATAGCTGAACAAATAATTTTATTCTTAGATAAATTTTAAAACTAATTATTTAAAGATTCTTTATTATACGTGTATAATTTTATTATTAAAAAAACCCCCCCCCTGATGCACAAGTGAAAAATCTAACTAAACATAAAATAACTGCTATAAGAAACAAATATGTGGATGCCTGCATCAAAAGCAGGGGATGGAACTATATATTATATAGTCTCATCCCCTGCTTTTGCTGTGAGCATTCTCATATAAAAATTAAAAGGATTATAACCACCAGGAATTTTGTCAGTGCATTAAACTCAAAAAATCCATCACCAAGTTTTTGAAAATTCTCTAATTTATTAAAAGGAATCCACTCAATTACATCTTTATATTCTATAGATTTAAGTTAAAATTCTTTAATGCAATCATTGATATCCTTATTTTTACATGTCCATCCTTGTATAAGAAACTACAAAAATTCGATTTCGATGTATATAAACTATCAAAAAAACGATAAGCTTACAGAAGAAACCACGATGGACCTTCAAAAGAATCCACAAATATTTGCTAGAAGAAATATGAACTTACTGAAAGTACTGCAAAAAGACTATGAAGAATCAAAGAGCGATGATGAAAGAACACACCGAAGGAAAACAACGAATTAGAAACTTAAAAAAAACCCCAGGCACCAAAATACGAAAAGAATAAAAAAATGGCTGAGCTACCTAAATTGTATGACTTCGTGACCTCTAATCTAAGGCTTCAACAACAGCTCCAATAACAGCTTCAATGACAGATCTAATGATAACTCTAATGACGATTCCAACAACGGCTCCAATGATGACTCCAATAACAGCTCCAAAGCTTCCAACGATGGCTCCAAAGCTTCCAATGACAGTTCTAAGGCTTCAACAATAACTCCAACACGACTTCAACAATGGTCCAATAACGACTTCTAAAGAGAAAAAAACTAGTTATTAATAAATCAAAAAAAAACAAGTGCAAAAAAAAATAAATGATTATTAAAAGGATAATTATTGTTTATATATAATCACCAATCTGTAAAATAATTGGCTGATCATATAGAGTCGCCATAGTGATAGGTCACTATTTATAATTTTCCAATTTATTTTATTAAAAATTTTTGCATATAATTTAATTTAGTGCAAATTTGTGCAAATTTTTATTTTTTTCCAAAAATTTCTGGCAGATTAGCAAATTTTACAAATTTTTATATATTAAATTTATTTAAAAATTTGTGGAAATTTGCACTAAATTTATTTTCTTAATGTAAATTATTGCATGTAGTATATAAACATCAGAAAAATAAATTTAGTGCAAATTTGCACAAATTTTTAAGCAAATTTAATATATAAAAATTTGCAGAAATTTGCTAATCTGCCAGAAATTTTCAGAATAAAAAAATAAAAATTTGCACAAATTTTTATATTTTAACTATTTGCAAAAATTTTTAATAAAATAAATTTTAGATATTTAAAAACAAAAAGTTTCAAAAATTTGCAAAAAATCTTAAATATATATATTTTTTATCTTTCTATTTAGTAGTACTAAAAGAGAACTAATTATATATATAATGTTTTAAAAAATTTGTGCAAAATTTTATTTTTTTTTCTGAAAATTTCTGGCAGGTTAGCAAATTTTTACAAATTTTTATATATTAAATTTGCTTAAAAATTTGCGCAAATTTGCATCAAATTTATTTTCTTGATGAAAGTACTATATTATAAATTTTGTATTCAGTGTTAGATAATAATTGTATTAATAATATAAGCAATTTGTTTGTCTGTAATTTTTTTATACTAGCAATATTATCAGAAAAATAAATTTAGTGCAAGTTTGTGCAAATTTTTAAGCAAATTTAATATATAAAAATTTGCAAAAATTTGCAAACCTGCTAAAAATTTTCTTAATAAAAAAATAAAAATTTGCACAAATTTGCACTAAATTTAATTATTTACAAAAATTTTTAATAAAAAAAATTTTATATATTAAAAAACAAAAATTTTCAAAAATTTGCAAAAAATCTTAAATATATATATTTTTTATTTTTCAATTTAGTAGTACTGAAAGAGAGCTAATTATATATATAATGCTTTAAAAAAATTTTAAAAAATTTTTACAGATTAGTGTAATTTATTTTATTAAAATTTTTGCAAATAATTAAATTTGAGTATTACTAATTTTCACCCTAGGTGATGTCATCCGGTTGTGTAAAAGCCAATCAGCTCTCCAGATTTTGTGTAACCAAAACAAAGTGAGAAAAAGAAAAATCACAGAAAAGCTTTAATAACTCAAAATTTTGTTATAAAAATCATGCCTGACTTCTAAGCAAAAGTTTTTAATACCAATTTTATATATATTTAAGCTCTCTTACTTCAACCCAAGGCTAACTCTAACCCCTAATCGTAAATTATTTTCTTTTAATAAAAATTTTATAATATTGGATGATATTACTACAGGTGAATTAGTTATAACAATTAAATTTATAAAAATTTGTGCAAATTTTTATTTTTTTTCTGAAAATTTCCGGCAGGTTAGCAAATTTTCATAAATTTTTATATATTCAATTTTCTTAAAAATTTGTATATATTTGCACTAAATTTATTTTTCTGATGTTATCACATCAAAATTTGAATTTATTACACCCTAATTTGATTTTATTACATTGATTACATTAGAAAACTTTTTTTAGTGCAGTTTTGTGCAAAACTGCAAGAAAAATAAATAATAATATAAATAAAGATTTGTGCAAAATTTTAAACCTGGCAGCTATAACCACAGAAAATTAAGCACAATTCTGCAAAAAACTTCAAATTTTAAAAATTTTGCAAATTTTTTAGTGCAAATTTGCAAAAATCTGATTTTGACAGATTTTTGCAGATTTGCACTAAAAAAATTTTTCTGATGTATTAATAATTGATATGATAATATTGACTTCATATGTAATAATATCAAGAAAATAAATTTAGTACAAGTTTGCAAAATTTTTAAGCAAATTTAATATATAAAAATTTGTAAAAATTTGCTAACTTGCCAGAAATTTTTGGAATAAAAAAATAAAAATTTGTACAAATTTTTTATTTTAACTATTTGCAAAAATTTTTAATAAAATAAATTTAACATATTTAAAAACATAAATTTTCAAAAATTTGCAAAAATCTTAAATATATATATTTTTTATCTTTTAATTTTGTAGTACTAAGAGAAAGCTAATTATATATATAACAATTTAAAAAAAAATTTAAAAAATTTTTTACAGATTTGTGAAATTTATTTTATTTTATTTTTTATTTTTTTATTTTTTTTATTTTTTTTGTAAATGTTATAGTTGAAACTTTATTTAATAAAATAGAAAGAAATTCTACATTAAAGATTTAGAACTACATTTGTGCTACTATATAATAGACACCCAATGTAATATTATACTCTCTAAGTTTCTATATAGTGCAATTAATTATTGTTATTAATTGGTTTGCTAGAATAGGTTAGAGGAAACCTAAAGTATATATCATGATATTACAGTTGGTTTAGTTAAAACTTCGTTAAGCAATGTGAAAAGAAAAAAGTAAATAAAAAGTAAATAGAGTATTTAATTGAGTGTATTTAAGGATAAAAATAAGCTATAAGGTAAAAACAATTCCAATCGCATATTCATAATATCCTTAATCACCTAGGTGGTGCAATTGCAATAGACTTATTCTTTAAAAATGATCATAAATTCAGAATTATTTCTGTTTACCTCTCATCAA